AGATGTCGTCAGAGGTCGGCCAGGGTTCTGATCCTGGACGTTGATGCGTCCGTTTGCTTGTCACACAAGTCTGAAGAGCAACCTCTGACGAGTCGACGATCTGTCAACTCCGGGACCTGAACAATGCAATCAAGACAGATCTCTGCACAGCACGGTCGAGCCCTGTGTTGTCCCGGGCCACTGAACGATCCGGCAAGATGCTCTGAGTGTTCGAAGGCAGAACAGCCGGGATTCGGCGAAGCAGTCGCGGCTTGCTAACTTAGCGGGCTTCCTTTCCTGTATTGTCGCATGAAACAAAGATAGGTACTGCAGGTGGAGCACCCAGAAGTTGATCCGTTGGCAGTTTCGGGGCTGTGCCTGAAATGGTGCTGGGCTACATGTGAATAGCAGGACGTCGCAGTCGATTCTGCAATCGTTCAAAGCTGGGGGAGGTGTACATCAATGTTGCCCCCCAGCGTTCTGCGGGCAGGTCGCAAAGAGGGAGCAGGAAGGGAGGGCCCAGGCGGAGCTGCAGAGCCGCGCACTTTGGCCATTCTGTCACTTCGTTCGCTGCGGGCTTCGGGTGACCAGGCAGAGGCTTGAGGTGCGGCCATCTGTGCAGGCTGAGGACGTGGATCTCCTCAGCAGACCCTGCAAGGCGCGTTTTCTTGGTGAGAAGCAGAAGACTTGCCTTCCTTGCGAGCTTCAGACTTGGAAGATGTTGGAAGTCGATGCTCAGCAGTGTCAGCAGTGCGAAGTTGCAGGTGCAGTCAGAAGGATTGTCTAGTCAAGACGTCACGGGAGACAGCTGGTTAAATCTTCTGTGCTCTGCCTCGGCACTTCGGAGGGCCCAAGTAGAGAATCCGAAGGAGACCATGATTTCTTGCAACGGGCAGGTGCAGACAGCTGTGAAGCTGGAGGACAGATCTTTGGTGCAGGTTGCATGAGTCATCATGAGTCCATCGCCATCATATCCGGCTTCTCACACGAGCCGGACAGGAGCGCCCCCTCCTAGGCCGACGACGTTCGGCCAAAGACTACGAGAGACGAGCGGCGCAGGTGAAGTTGGATTCGGATGCCAAAGCGGAGTCGTCTTGGTAGCATGGAGCTTGCTGTGGAGCTTCTTGCAGACTTGCAGGTCTCCCTTCACCACAAACATCGAAAGCCCGCCGAGCTCAAGGACCCCTGCAGTCGTTTGAGACCTTCCGGTGGCTCGAGGAGAAGACTAAAGCAGAGGGACCAAAAAAACGGCAAGGGCTCGGAGCTGTTTCTGCTCAGGCACCATGTGCAGATGTCCGCATTTTCCATGGCAGCCAATCGCAGCAGCCTTCAACATTCCCGGAAAAGCTCCGGTAACATACATGATGTTGCAAGGTCGCTCTGGTTTAGAAGATTGTCACGGCCGCCCGCCCCCCCACCCTCGTCCCTGAAAAGGAACCCTTCAATTAAGGAAGGTACCTTAACGGATTTGTCTGTGAGGGGACCTCTAGCACTCTGGCAATGACAACCCTGTGATGTAGTGCAAAGATGATGACAGTTCCATTCCCTCTCATGATCAAAGCCAGACAAGCACGGTCTAACTGGAGTCATGCGACTTCTGGTGCTATGCGTGCCTGGGTTAGTCGTGGCGACATTTGTCGAGCAGCGCACAGAGGGTGTGGGCTGCTCGCAGTGAAAACAGGACAAGAAAGGTCCCAGCTAAGAGTTCAACTTGTTGGTACAGTTGCTCATCTGCAAGGCTTTCAGTGTGCTCTTCTCCGCTTCAACTCCCAGCGGACGGAGCTAAGCTGCTGGGGCCAAAATGACAAAGGCCGTCCTCCTTGCAAGCCTTCGTGCATGAATCAGTGAGCTCTTGTAGAGGTCAGCTGGGCCAGGGCGACACACTGCCGCGTCCGACCCAGCAGGACCAGCCCGTGACTCTTGGACGAAGTCCGCCCAGCTTGTTCCTGCTGGCAGGCGCCGGTCCTGTTGGGAGCCCAGGCACGGCCAGGGAGCTTCGAGGTCGCGGGCTTGCGCTGGCTTTTTGGTTTTGGCCAGGTGGTGCAGGTCAGCAGCGGGGCTCACCACAGCTGCGCCCTCCTGCAGACCGGTGAGGAGAGCCTGAGCCTGCCAAAAGGGTGCTTGCTTGCATGTAGCGAACTAGCGAACGGAAGGTGAAGTGCTGGGGTGCGAACAATCGTGGCCAGCTTGGCTTGGGCGACTCTGCCAACCGCGGGGACGACCCAAAGGCGGGAAGGGAACAAGAATCCAGAGGAACCTGTGACAGACAGTGTTGCGCAGGAGATGGGGGAATTCCTGACCCCGGCTTCCTGGATGCAAAAGCACCTGGTCTGCTCGGAAAGCTTCGCTTTGAGCTGCCAGGTCGGACTGGGACCTTGCAAGGCTGTGGAGGTGCGGCTTGGCCTCGAGCACAGCTGTGGCCCGGCTAGACGATGGCCCCTCGGTTGCGCTTTAGAGAAGGCCACGAACCAATCGTCACCCACACGACACTGCGTGGATGCTTAACATCCTGCTGTCGGTCTCCGAACACCTCCGTGAAGCCAAGGGCGCGTGAAGTGTTGGGGTGCCAACGGCCAGGGGCAGGCCCGGCAGCCAATTTGCTATTCGGAAAAATGCTGTTTGCTTCGAAGGCTCGCACGGGAGGTCCCGCCTCCATCGGTCTTTGGCCATGGGAGCTCGGCGAGGCTTTGGCTCCTCGGCAGACGGTGGCAAACGGTCGGCGCATTTTGCCGCGGCCTGGTGCTCAGGTCCCAGAGCCCTTAGGGACTGGGCGGCGAGCGATTGGCCTCTTGGCAGGTTCCTGGCATCCGGGCAAAGATTCATATGCGAACGTGCGCTCTGGTGCTAAACTGCTACACCACTCAAACAGGTTGTTTCAAGACATTTCAAGACCGACTGACTGACAAACGGTGTCCAACCAAAAGTGCATCCAAGGCACAGCTGTGCCATCCTTGATGACCAGACCTCCAAGTGTTGGGGCTCTGGAGCAGAATCCACGTAGCGGCCACGTACGCTTGGGGATTTGAACTTGGACTCTATGGTGGTGTGTGGTATGTGACTATGTGATCGCATCGCAAGTGCAATGCGGTACACATCTGATGTCAGATCTTCGAAGCTTCCGAAAGGTGGCTCCAGCAAGTCTCACAGCCACGTCACGAGCCAGAAAGAGCCGAAAGACAACCCTTCTGCGCGCGGCACATGGTCACAATCACTGTCCCTTTTTTTCACAGTGCTCCTCTTTCATCTGACAGCTATTTGCAGAGATGCAACAAGCGTCTTTTTCAGACAGCGGCACAAATCTCTCGGACATCGTAGTCATAGTCCTTGTGTGTCGCAAGTCCACATATTCCTGCGCATCATCGCAGTCTCAGAGTTGTTAACTTCAACCAATCTCCTGGATTCATGGATCCAGGAGCCGCGGCCAGCGAGTTCCCAGCATCGGCGAGACGTGCAGTTCGAGGCGATCTGATACACAACAGTATGATAGAATTGCCGAACATCCAATCGCACATATTCCATATCTTCCAGCGAAACATACCTGTAGCGCGAGTCACTGGTCAGAGTTTGTAAGGAGGTTCCGCTGACAGAGATACGATCTCCCTTCTCTCCTCCTTCCTGCCTCCCTCTCCCCTCTCCCCTCTCCCCTCCCCTCTCCTAGTTCCACTACGAAGGATAATCCCGGAAATCAAAGCCCATATTGAACAGACTAGGTCCTTCGAACCCACGATTGAGCTGCCAAGGAGCTTTTCCGAAGCCCAATCCGGGGCGCAGATCTTGGGCGGGGTGTCCATGCCCGGGGAAGTCTTGGATAGCCTCCTGCAGGCATGTCGGGTTGCAATGGCTCCGGGGCTTGGGAAGAAGTGTAAGCCTGCTTGTTGCGATGTTTTTTGAGGATGTTAAAATCGACAAGAAATTTCCGATCTGTGTCGTGAACCTCACGCCGTATGATGCATGCCTGGAGCGGGCTTGTGTGAGCAGCGGAGATTCTGGAGGGCCCAGGCTCGGGTTAACCTAAACCTAAACCCTAATCCCTTTCACCTCTCATCCATCCAGAGCATCACCAGCCCAAACTCCGGTAAAGCCTAGACCTTCAAACTCAACCCTAAACCGTAGTCCCTAGTCACCCCCAATCCATCTTCCCGAAAATCCTCAAATCATCCCTGAACCTTAAACTGAAACCTGTCCATCCATCCTGAGGATTATCAGCTACTCTGTGAGCCCCGAGTCTGTGGAGGTGCTCTTCGCACAAAGGCTCATGGCACAGAAGCTGCTCGAGGTCAGCTGCACAACTTTAGGTGAGGTCCGGTGAGGTCTTTCTGTGCGGCCTCTAATGTAATGTGCTGCACTGAAGTCTTTGTGTGCGACAGGCTCGGCGTTCTAGTTAAGGGCTGAAGTCTTTGTGTGTGCCAGGGCCCCAGGCTTCTTAGCCTAGTTACTGACTTCTTTGTGTGCGGGGTTCTAGTTAAGGGCTGAAGTCTTTGTGTGTGCTAGGGCCCCAGGCTTCTTAGCCTAGTCGCTGACTTCTTTGTGTGCGACAAAAGTCTTTGGCCGGAGGCGGTTTCTGGTTAATAGGCTTAATACCAGGACTGGAAAAATGGTGGCCACACCCTTGGTAATGTGGCCAGCTATAGTCCGGACCTCCAAGAGGAATCCGCGTCAGGCAACGTGGAGCTCCCCAGCTTTCTAGTCTGCAGTGTGGTAGACACGCCGGAGGGAAAGAAAACCCTGGCCTTGCCTGCTAGCTTCCGCAGCAAGTGGGCTGATGATTCCATCCGCCGAGAGAAGTGGGAGCAGGAGTTGGCAAGATTCGACTCCAGGTCAGGGTTCAGAATCTGATGGTCGGTCGTGAGTCTAGCAGGTTGGGCTCCTAGTTGATTCAAGGCTTAACTGTTTTTTATCCTGGGCTCCTGGCTTTGGGGTTTCGGGCCCATGCTGGGTCCTATTGAATTCCTAAGCCTAGGCAACACCTAAAATCCCATTAAATCCCACGACTCCCCAATTTTAATGCGGAAGCTTGAGAGACTCCTTATCCAGGTTTGGTCGAGTGGCTGCTGCCGCTCCAGCACCCGTGGCAGCAGAGGCATCGCAGACAGCGACGGTCGCCGCCTGGCCGAACGAGCCAAAGACTGTCGCAGAGCTTGACAACATCTATGAGACGATCAAGACATGCCCAGGGCGGGTGGCGACGACTCTCTTAAAAGTTGTCAAAGCTGCTCCCCGCGATGGCAGCGAAGCTCGGGATGTGGCGGAAGGACAAGTGAACAAGCTCTTCATTGCAGCTGCCTAAGA